TTAACAAAAGTCAATGAATTTTTTTTTTCATTTTGACTAAAAGTGTTAGTAAGCCAGTAAGGGTATTAGTATACTTAAAGTGAACATTTTAAAATTACATATAAGCCTAATTTTATATTTTTATTTTATCACAGTGAACTTAAATACAATTTATTAAATTTAATTTCAAGTTTTTTGTCATTAGTATGTCTTTCGTGGCACTAAACAGTGTAGGTATTTCGGTTAGAACAGGACAAGAGTAATTCTTTTAAAAAATACTTAGCAACATTATTAGGTATTATTTTGCATTTAAATGTTATATGTGTTTGTGTATACAATTATGAAAGTTGTTGAAATTCATGTAAATAATATTATAACTTAAACAAAGTTTTCTAAATCAAAATGAACAGATTACATTTTTTTAAAAGTGGACAAGAGGGTACCGCTCTGTTGTACAGTAGTTGTGGATGTTTTAATGGATGTGTATATCAAAATTGTACACGAAAAACGATTCCGAGCGGAGACGTTGACTCCTCCTAAAAATATCAATTGTATAAATAATCTAATTCAATAATTGAAAAAAAAAATTTAATAAAAATCGAAAATATCGTAATTTTCAGGTAAATGTATTATTTTTTGTTGTAGGTAAAACGACTAGGGGGCAATTTGTATTTTTTTATTACAATATCCGATTTAAGCTATAAAAAGTAAAACTACTATGAATTTATAACTGAAAAATAATTTACAAATTATCAAAAATTTCTTTAAGTAAAATGACTTTAAGTAGCTCAGAAAGAGTTAAAATAGTTTGAACATTTTATCATAGAAAATTTTGAATTTTGATTTTTGACCTCCTAAATGCAGCAACTTGATTCAAATTTTCTGTCAAAAATCATAACATTTTTTACTATCTCAAATGTTGATGACAGAAAATAAACACACATCATTATAAATATAATACATTCATCTCTATATGCGCATAGAATCCAAAACTATATTACCCTAAGGATAAAAATATTCTGTTTTTAAATATCAGTTACCTAGGTACGTTACATAGGTATTGCATTGTATCACTTCGGTATAATTCTACCAACTTATTTTAAGAATAATATTTGTATTCACAAATTTTGATTATTATTGACACTGTGCATAAAAGTTTAGTATATTAACTGTGTACCTGTTATGTTTTATTTCAAATATTGTTCCATCAATTATCAATGCCATGCAAATAATACTATTATGATTATAGAGGTAAAAAATTACATGAGACACTTTAGTATTTAATCTTTATGTAGGTACTTTTAAGGTGATTACAATTTCGAGTCATAAATATATTAATACAGATTATAGATACTATTTTATCAGTTAAAGTTATGGCCATACGAGTAAACAAGCTTTAATTCTACAAAAATAAGATTTGTGTGTATTATCTTAGACTTTTTATTGATGTTGTATAATATTGTCTGGTTTTATTTCCCATTCAGATAAGTCTTCAACCATGTGGACCTGGTAATGCAATATTAAATCCACAAAAGCTGAATTAGTTAAAAAAATATTAAATTTATTAATTTGAATGTGTTGTCGGACGTACCTTAATTTCAAAATGCAACTAATTCGTTTTGGTGTTATGAGAGACAAAAAAATACAAATTGTTGTATTGTTGTATAAGATTAGTTTTTAAAACACTATATAGTAGTACATAGTTCTGAATCATTTTTTCATCCACTGAACTTAGTGTATAGTTGTTTTATACTACCCATTAAATTATCGATATTAAATTCAGACTGAAGATCAGTGCGCGGTAAGGGTTTGTATGTTTTTTTTTCCGTAGAAGTATTTCATCCAAAGCAAAAAAACAATAAAAGTCAAATCCCGGTTTCATTTCGGTCGGATGGCGCAGCCTACAGATTAAGGGACGGAATAAAATTATAATATAAATTTGTCTGGGTAAGCATAAAAGATAAAAACGAGACGGCTCAGAGTTGAAAAAAGTGATTTTAGATGTACAGGGCATGACGTTTTAGTTATCATCGAGGAAATAAGAATTTAATGAAATTCAAATATGAACATTTGAAAATAAAACCACCATAGAACAGGATTTATTTATCGAAATTATTCTGAGGTAACTTTTCTGATTACTAAGTTAATTGATTTATAACATTAAAATATTTTGTGATTACAATTTAAGTCACTAAGACTGAATGTCTTGTCTGGATGTTCAAACATAATAATAAAAACTATTTTCTTCATTATATATCGCTGTAAATCCAATGTATTTTGTGGAATTGATTTTAAGAATAGTCTAGTCAACTTTAAACAAATATTTAGGTACCACTTTTATCTCTTCTAACAATATAATTAATGTGGAAATAAACAGCTATTATTTTCAGCACTAGAAATAATCATAGTTTTTTCATATTTTTTTAAATTTAATTAAAAATATTTTTTCTATATTTCTTTAGTATAAGTATTGATCTTACGTTGTAAATAATGACCCAAATTTATTAAACTTACTTTGATTTTTATAAATTGTATATATTAGATGTAATATCACGGAATTAATTATTATAAATTAAAATACATATTATTATTAATATTATTAATATTATGTTTCTAATCATTCAGTTGTTAAATATCGATTGGTTTTAAAGTTTGTTTTTGGAAAAAAATTAAGATATATAGTCAACAAGTTTGCCTGATTTTACTTGTACGAACAATGTAAATTCTACACTCAACTATTTGTTAGAAGTCTGTAGTTGTAGAAAAATAAGTATGTACTTAGTTAAAAGCATCCTATACCTACAAATAAAAACGAATCATACGAATTAAACATTAATAGTGTTGAAAATATCAATTAACATTTTTCTCTGAATTATTTCACTTAAATGTTATTATTGCCTTAATTTGATACTTTAAGCTGTTATTTTATGTAAGCACTTAATATTCAATTTCTATAATAATTAAAATTTATTTTACTTAAAATTGTTCTTATTAGTTTGTGCAAAAGTTAGGTCATAATATAATGTTTACAATATTTACATACAGTTTCGGACAAATAAAAATATAAATTATGTACCAATATATAGGATTCTAAGAAAATAGAAATCTTTTATCTTAAACTTTAAAACATTGTGGAAATTCAAAATTAAACGTATTTACAAATAATGTGAAGGGTAGTCCATTTAAATGTTTACAATTAGAATTTTTTTTTCACATATTTTTTATGTCATTGAAAAACATTAATTATTATAATTTTTATTGTTACGGTCTTTTACATTTTACTCTTTTGAATTATAATATACATTTTTTGTTTGCCGGAGCAGAAGGGAAGTACTGGGTGTACTTCGATAATCTATACCTACTTAAAAAAATATGCACACATGCAGTGCCAAATATAAGAAGTTTTTAAAGTCATCTAACGATCGGAGTAGTGAACAAAAATGTTGTGGTATACGTCCTATTATAGTTATAAGTAATTAACTTTTTATTTGAAATTCAACTGTTATGTACTGAAAACTCAAACAAATTTGAAAATATATAATATGCCGTTATTTTAATTTTTAAATTAAATTTATTGGATTGATCATTTGCCATTTTTATATTTTTTTACATTTATATTATGTGACATTTTGAGTTTGTTTTAAATTTTAATAACATATTGAAATTAACGTTGATGGTTGATTCCTATTATTATAATTGTCATTATACACAAAACATTTTTCCTGAAAATTAATAAACAATTTTGAATGAATAATAGTAGATATAAAACAAATATTGAATATAAAAATACAGATTGAACGAATAACTTAACATTTTTAAATAAGAATAATAAAATATTGGGATTTTGTAAATTAATGTTTGTTTAATACCTTATCAGTATGTATTATTCATTTCTTACGAATCAGTTATTGCTTTTTTTAAAAGTTTTTCCAATGGAATATTAATTAAACACTATGGATGATATACACATCAAAGGACATTATTATTTCTTACTTTCTTAATAATATATAGGAACGACTTAAATGTCTCCTTTTAAATATTTGGTTTTGGAGCTGGGAGTTTGTAACATGTAAATGAGCTTTAAGTATTTAAATTAAGTAAATTTTAAAATGAGTTTGAAAAATTTCTGTGTGATTATATTAATATAGCTATAACATGGATGTTACGCAGTGTGAAAACAAGTGCTTTTAATCACAAAACGATTTAATACGTTAGAACTTTAAATTTATTTTATAACAATATTGTGCACATTTAAAAAAGACGGCCGTATACGCTCGTTATGCCGGTTACGTATATACTGAAAATATTTGAACCCGTTCGATATGATCGCCGAATAGAGCCTCTATCTTATCTTTTACTATCGATACAATGATTATGATACGTACCGAACAATGGACAATATGTACATTTTATTGAACATTTTTTTACTTATTATGTGACTTGTCCTGGTTGTAGAGTATATAGAATGTACCTTGTTATATCCGCATTTTTTTCTGGAAATATTATAAGAAATATCATTCAATTTGTCTTAAGAAATTCATAGAATTCATAAATAATATTTTCAAGTTTTACAACCAATTAAGATCCCTTGAAAACATAGTATTTGGCATCTGTTTTATTTTTATACTAACTGCTTATCAAGATTAATCAGAAAAAAGGCTTTATATTCGACTTCAGAAACAATTTTCAAACGATAAAATATATTTGTGGTTATATAATAATATTATGTTTTGTATTCTAAAAAGTGGTTAGTATTTCGACATGTTAAATTAAATAAAATAATAACTTTGATTTGGAAACACGTCAAGTTTCATAAACCGTTTTTGATTAATACGTTTACTTATCTATTACCTATTTGTTTTTTCGCGGACGAATGAATTAAATTGTTGAAAATTAGTTTCACGAATCACCACGACTTTTTTCGTAAATTGTTTCGTTCGTTTAGTGAGCGTGTGCGAAGGGATGTGGGCGTCTTATACTCCGACGCTTCAGTCCTGCGCGGTTGTGCGACACACCAATCACGTTGTCAGCACGTTGGCCAGTTGGCTTCAAACTCGCAGACCGGGACTGTATCGCGTTGCTTGTGCATTTTTCCGATTACGAAATATTTCGTAAACAATTAAAAAAAAAAAAAATTAATATTAATCTGTATTGAAAATGTATAGTAAAAAATAGAATGTATCACAAATAAAATGATAAAGAACATCTATAGGTAATCTATATATTTACGAAACAGGTATGTCAAAGCATAAAGACGCAGTAAGTGATACCTGAAGTCTTATATTGATAATCATATTAATATATAATAATGTCTGGATATAAATGATATAATATATTTTAAAATACTGATAGAGGTATAAATATAATATATAACGTAACTATAATAAATATAATTATTAAAACATTATTTGGATCCATTTTTTGTCTTGAAATCATTATCAAAACAACAAATAGAATTGTTTCTACGATTTATAAAATGCAATTATCGAAGGTTTTATTGAAAACATTACTCACGTTCATTTTAAGAATTCGATTTTTATTCTTTTAAAATAAATAGGTTTGTTCGTGTGCATATTTAAATTTCTTGGTATTAATCACACACGAACAAATAACATGTTTAAGGATAATTATATGTATAATATTAATTTATCGCTAAATATATTATTCAAATATTTTCTCAACATTTGATATATATGTATATTATTCGCTTTAAAACCATTGTCATGTTCAAACGAATTCAGCAAGTAAAGCTTTTAATTGTAATGTAAAACTTTTTTTTAGAATTGAACCACACGATTTCATCATGATTTCAAATTCAATCAAATTACTAGTATTACATTTTGGTCTTGTACTGGCGTTCGGAAATTGGGGTGAGTAAAAATATAATAATAGTGATAACTTAGAATTTGAATTAGTTTTCTTTTACACTATATCCGAAAGATATAAAATTTAAATCGATTATTATAATTATATTTCTTATTATTTTGGAAATTAATGAATTGTGTAAAGAAAACATGTGTAGAATTTATTTTGGTTTAAAACTAAAATTCTACGAGAAAAATGTTTTATTAGAATTTATTAAATACCATTTTTTTTCTTCAAATTATGTCTGCTATAGTAATTTATTCTAAAAATAATTATAAACTTTACATCTTTAAAATAACTCACAGTGATAACACATTAAATTCTTGTAACAAAAAAAAATGTTTGATGGCGATTTAAAATTTGTCATGTAATGTTCCAAAAATACTTTTCTTGACTCCAAAGTTTAAACTGTAATTTGATAAGTTACCTCTTACCTCTTTTGAATCCGGTCTATCAGGTTAGCGTGAAAAGATCCCTAAAGGATAGGAATACCTTAGCAACAACTTTATAGTGTCAGGAATTTCGATTTTAAACGTGATAGTGTTTCAACCCGTCACTCTTGGCAGTCGAACCCTTGAGATTTTGCTTAACCCTTTTAAACCCAATTCTCGTGAATGATATTTTTTTATTTAAAGTAAATAATTTTAGTCTTGTTTACTTATTTTCCATGTTATTTTAACAGAGTACAATAATTTTGATTTTTGACGAATGCAATTATTTAAAAACTTGATTGTAATTGGTAGTAATTTTCATATCGAAATAATTGCATAATATTTGATTGGTTTAGTTTCATCATAATATGAAAGTATTTGTCAATTGACATATTTAAAATAAATAATAGACCATCATTGAGTGGTATTGGTGAATACAAAAAAAGTCCGATACTTGTATATGTTAGTAATTTTGGTTCTTATAGTTATAGGTACTTGAGTATTTTGTTGAATATTCAGTTAAAATATAATGAAATCGTTTATACATTTTGTATATATTAGATGGTACACCAAATTAAAGAATTAAAAAATTAAAAAATTAATATATTATTTTATTTATATCAATTACTCTGAATGTATTTTAGATTTGGAGTGGTGCGACGAGTATAATATTATTGGTTTTTTAATGATGTGTACCTATTTTGTTACCCTTATTTAGTGATTTTCCTTAAAGTTTTTCTACAACGTTCGACATTGAGGGTAGTTATCGAAGCTGGTTACCAAGTTCATTAAATTTGGTTGAATTTCTTTGTCAAAAATAAAAAAAAAAAGTCAGTAGTAGGTACTCAGTATCTACTTCCCTTAATGATTGAAAAAACTTGAAAATGGGAGTATGGGAATATTTACACAACACCATTTTATCGCATAATTTACTTTCGTAAAAAGAAAAGAAAATATTGTAAAACTTTAAAATGTTCACCAAATATTTTTTTTGTAGGTCTAACATAATTTTTGAAATATTTTGGGGTTTCTGTAAGCTATTTATATTTTAACGTTTATATTTCTCGGTCAATATAGCATGAAAAATATCAAAACCACTTTGGGATTTTTTATTGAGCATTTGAAGTTGTAACGAACTTGGATACATAAACGAACATAAACGATTTCTCCTTAATCGCTTTAGTTATTTTATTGTAATTCAAAAAAATATTAATCGTAGAGATATAAAACTTTTTATTGTATCATTATTTTCTGCGAACAATATTAAATTTTCAAATAATATTTAGACTAATTTTAAGCAATTTATATTAAGAACCAGAAAAAAATTTAAGCTATTCTCTGTTCTTGACTATTTGGTCAATCTATCAAATTAATAAGAAAATGCAAATAATATAAAAAAAAAATTAATATAATTTCAATATAACATAAATGATCCTTAGAAATAGCTGCTAATCCACATCTCTCCATCATTTAGAATTAATTGTTTAATACAACTATTTATTGTTGGATTCAAATGCAATACGTTTATTTCCATTATTGTTGCGAAATTATCCACTCGAAACCCTCTAAACAGCAGAGAGTGTTCTCTGGTTTTTATTTTTAAAAGTATGTTTCATTATACTATTCACACCCATTATTGATTCCTTACATTTCTCTGATTATTATTTGTAACTACATTATATTATAGCCTATAAACTAAAACGTTTTTATCGTTTATCTCTACTGTAATGCAATTAAAAAAAAAGATAAGATACACCATCGATATAATTTACATGCTGAATAAAATATATTATTGTTAAGTATACCTGTATAAATAATTATAGTAATTATTATAATAATTATTATAGTAAATTAAACATTTTTTTCGATATTTTATAAATGCATATTAATCGGGTTTTTTTTTTCGCTGAAATATCTTATCAAACTATGCACTAGATGTATTTGTATTCCATCTTGTCTAAATTGTTCAAATAGTTATGCTATAATTTGCACCACAAAAATGTATTGTATAACTACGTATATTATGTTGCTTCAAATATCTAAATAAGGGAAGAACAGGAAAATTCATAAAAAAAATCGAATCATGAATATAATATTAATATGGTATAACGTATAAATCCTTAAGTTAAAAATTACTTGAGAATAAATCAGTATTAAAAAAATACTTTAATTACTTTCCGTAACAACTAAGTAAGTTTAAAGTGCAAACGTGTCCATTTCGTGAATGTTTTGGTGACTGTGCAATCTTTGGAAGTACCTATGTAATATACAAGCGATGTAGGTATACAATGTGGATCATGTTGACATAGTTGAATAATTTATAATGGGTTATCAAATATCTTTAGTAAAGTGTCCTCGGTCGTTTTCTGGGGTTGAAACTAAGGGTGGTTTATTATTGTGGATTTTATGCAAAGACAACCACGAAAGGAATTCTCACAATATGTGCACGAGGTGAGTGGATAAAACGGTGTCATCGCTGGTTCCAGATATGTTATTAGATGAAATTCGTCATCTGGTAAAATATGTTTAGGTTTACAAGTTCAAAGACAAACTATATTACAAATTACAATACCAAGTACTATACCGTAGCCGCAGGTATGTTAGAAGTTAGGAGAACTTATAGCCCGGCACAATATTCATAACGGCATTTTAAATCTAAATCCATAAAGACGTTGTTTGTATTTTGTTTTCTATTAGTATGTATAAAATCTTAACGATAAGTTTTTAATGGAATTGTGTTTAAGCGCATTTTTTTAAAATTAAAATTAGATTGATTTGTGTAAATATAAATATAAGCAATAAGACAAGACGCATCAGCTAGACGTAGACAAATAAACGGGGAAAAATTACACGAAGCCACTAATAAGGTTTTATTTTATGGTTTGCAATACTTACTTTGCACTTACTCAATCCCCAATGCATTTACATCGGAAAACCTATAAAAATGAAAATACTTAAAAAAATATTGCCAATTTAGGTCTCGCTAATTCTTAAAAAATAATTGTTGTTATTTATGATTTAATGGCTTAAATATTGAATTGTTAATTAGTAAATACTATCCGAGTTGACTCAACTCAATATATAATTATTTAGCGTTTTTGGACAATTCTTGTTCATTAATTATTGCATCTATTACAAATATAAAGTATACGTATGCTCATTTTATAATTGATTGTAATATACATGTAATATTATATTGAAAATAAAAATTTGCATACTACCACTTAGTTTATACACACAAATATTACGGCCATACAATTTAAAGCAGTGTGTAAACAATTAGATTACACTTTTGTGTGAATCAAAGGTTTAAAAAATCTAGTATTCTTGAATGGTTTTCATGAAATAACTATTTAAAGTTGTTTCATTGCAAACTTCTAACAAGATTTTCTCAGAACAAAGGCTTATTTTAGCTTTTCCAAACTATCCAGAATAACCTTATAAGATCACAAGAAAAGAGAGACGTAATATCTGAAATTGTAGAATATTACTGCTTAGAAACTTTAAGAAACATATAGAATCCACCATTTGGCTTAGGAATAATTCATATATTAAAAATGTGGAATGTACTTCATAATTTGTTTTAAAATAATTAGATTATTAAATACATTCCAATTTTAAGCACATGTACTCGAAAATCCCTATCATTATTAAATGTATAACTACTCGAGTAAAGAGTTTTTAATCTATCGTGATAAAATTATGTCACTGAAAATTTGAAAAGTTTTTTTTATAATACTTACTTGTTTAAAAGTTAAAATTACATTAAAACGATTTCAATATTCAAGTGTTATCACGTATTTGTTATGTTTAAATACATATACATATATATATATATATATATATATATATATATATATTTATTTACCTATTATGTTGTACGATTCAAAGTTTCTTTTCCCAACAAAATAAAAAATAATTCATCTAGTAGTTTAAGCAAGCATGTGAATATTTATGACCAAAAATATTTTGGACCAAATTTGTCGCGTATTTGTTAAATTTAGGTCTATATCATTTCGAAATGTTCCGAACTAGATTAATGCTGTTTACATAGTTTTGTCAGATACTTACAATTAGGCAAGTTTTAAGTTTATGAGCCAGTTAAGCATTTTTATTTTTTCCCACGTATCGAAGTTTTTCATTCTGGTTAACTGATCCGTAAAAGTTGAGAATCGAAAAACTTTTTCTGTGGCAGACACGGTAAAAGCCATCAGACAAGTTCGATGTCAGGAGCGTCGGTTTGATGGATGCTCTCTAATCACGGTAAACCACTTTTAACCGGCAATTTTCTTCTTCGCGTCCGCTTCATTAAACACATTAAGTACTCTATCTTTTTAAAACTCATCCTTAGGTCAAATAATAGTTAATTCTATAAACACTTAAATAATACCAACCCCGTTATAAATGTATCATAATATTATATTTAACTTTTCATATTTATTTTTGGTAAGTACAAAGATTTTAAGGGCATCCAATGAGAGTTCTACTACGTGTTGGAATGTTTTTAAGTTATTTTCCATTGTCACATTTTTGAGGCACTTTTAGAGTTTTTTTCGTATAGATTATATGTATAA